ACGCTCTTGACGCTGCGCTAAAGAGAGTTTGATTTTCAATCAGGGGAGTAATACGTTTTAATCATTCCTTTTATGATTAATTAATTGTTTTGAATTGATCTACATGCTATTGATTCAATTTAATTTTTCTTTGTTGAACGTGATACAATGCATTATTGGAGTTGCAATTCCGACTTTCCGAGAAGGAACTTCTCCAAATTCAAAGGCTTTTGTAGTTTTTTATCAATCAGGTATGCTTAAAATAAAGTAAGATATTTGAAACAACCTTGAAGCATGAAAACATTCCCCATGATGCATAAACACCCTATGTTTATATTTTCCTTCCGATCTATATATTGTATATGTTCATATATTTGTCAATATATATATATATATATATATATATATTTGTTTCATGCATCACACAATTAAAATTTTATGTGGAATATGTGAGTCAAAGTATCAAATTAAATTAGAAGCAAATATGGGTTTCCTAAACCGTAAGGGATTTTCGAAAAAAAAAGGGAATTGGGCATGGTGCGGCACAGAAACCAGGCTTCGGCCTGGGGTTAATTTGATGGACCTGAAGCCTTTAGCCTGTTTGTACCTTAACCTGTGGCCTGCTACTTTCTCTCGAACCGAACCAAGCCTCGACTTGGGTTCTATGCAACCCAGGCCTGCAACCTTCATACAATCCAGCCTAGTTGGCTGGGTTTTCTGCCACAGCCCGTGTACTTCACGCAGCCCACATGGTTGGGCTTGGTCCCCGTGACCTGCAATTACTCCCAAGGACCTTTTTGGGCCATGCCTTTTCTACTTAAGGCACCTAACCAAGCCCAAATATTTTTAGGGCTATATTTTCAATCCAATAATATTATTTTAATATTATTTAGCTTCTACAATCGACCATGTATGGCCCGATTTATTGAATTAATTAAAAGTGACCTGCAGTCCATTAATCTGATAATGAATCCAAAATTATTGACCTGAATATCACTTTTGGACATTATTGATTCAATAATTTATTTCTATTTTTTGAACCGTTGACTCACTTTTGTAGTCCCAAAGCGCTCACACTTGAATTCCTGAAGAAACTCAAATCTACTACACTTAGTTGTATATTACATTCTGTGTTCTTATAGAAACCTCTCTTTTATGAACTAAACGTTCATAAACTAAATTGAACCTGTAGTTTCAAATTTAGTGCCTTTGAAGCCCGAAGTTTTCATACAACAATACACCCATGAAAACCCGATGTTTTTTCATGAAAACCATGTCTTAGAACTCGAATGTTCTAACTATGATGCTTATGGATGATTCATTATCATAGCACCAATCACAATCTTGTTCCTTCCAATTTAGTGGATTGTCGAACCGTCGCAAATTTGATTTTCCCTGATTTGGATGTTTCTAATAAAAACCACCTCATGTGGGATACAAGACATGAATCTCCAATTGACTATCAAGAAGCTGAGAAAAATTGAAGCCAACAATGGCATGAAAGAGCTGAATAAGCTTCAACCATGATCTTCATTTGAAAACTTATGCTCAAAGCATTACAAATGGAAATACCTCCCGATCGAGGATTCCATGGCTTTTTGGCTCGCTCCTACGGACTGTCTAATCATGAAAGACATTGCATGAAGCACATCATGATTACATCCATGAATGAGTACAATTCTGAAGTTTATAAATCCGATCGAATATTGACTAGAGAATACTTTTCTCGTCCTTCCTTGTTTCTAACTCGCCCCTGAAGCAGCAGTGTAGATAGCGAAAGTTTACCAGATTCTTGGATCTGATTACTACCACAAATGTGAGAGCAAGGTATGGACCTAGTTCGGCTGGAGTCTACCGAATAGCTCGACCCAGTTTGGTCAAAGCCTATCGAATGGTGATGCACTACTTCGGCAGGGATACACCGAATGGCATATTCTCTCACAATCCAATTTCGAGTTTGTTTTTTACAACATATGGTAGAATCAAGGCCAACCAAGGTGTGGCATCATGCCCAAAGCATGATCCTTGGTACTTAAGACCTAAAACTCCAAGAATAAGGGAAAATATTTCCTAACCTCAACCCTGCAAAATCAATTTTCGTCTAGATAGAATAGATCATTGGTTATGCACTTGTTCGTGCCCCTACCAATGTTGTTGAGAAGTACCATTCTAGTAGTCAATATGTGAGACTAATTTTGCTCCACCAAACACCGTTGGAAAAGCAGAATTTTGACATGGATAGCCTTGTCCCTTAGTGAACCATTTACTTTGTGAACATTTTTCCATGTTCTTGGATTCAAGTTTGGTGTATGTTTTACTTATGGATAATCTTATTGATATTGTCCTCGAATATGAGTTAACCGAATCATGTTTCTTAATACATGTGACCGATTCAATTAAACACATGATTAGGTAGGAATGTGGGAAAGTTAGTTGTATGGATGAATGCGTACTACGCGCACTAACTTTACACCTAAATCACATCTCTAACAACGACTTCAAGTCTATCCAACCTGGTTAAGAGCATTAGCACGCTCCTCGTTGTATGAATGGTACTGAATCACCATTTAAGGGATCTTAAATTCTCTCTGACGTTGAGTTTTTAAGGATATTCGAGATGACAATGATCATAAATGAAACCACTGAACAAAATAGAGTGAAATATCTTTGCACCACCTCCAAAAATAAGCCTGAAGCTTTGATTTGGGGCCAATGGGTTGTTTCTCAACTGGGAACACGCCACATGTGGCCGACCTGGAGCTAGGTGATTGAGTAGTTTACTTGTTTTGGCACGACCATTTGGGACACTTAGGTCGAACAATGATGCTACAACGCATCTCCTTACCTGAAGTAAGGATTTTGTGCCTACAATCACACTTTGCCAAAGCCCGCTCATTTAGGAAATTGATTTTTATATCATTCCTTGCAAAGATACGACACGACTCCTTTTTCACAGTGGATTCAAGGGAATATATATAGACTAATCCAACCAAAATGTGGACCATATAAATACTTATGGTTTTGGTTGATGCATCGACAACCTGGTCACATGTTTATCCACATACATTGCTGCTAAACCTCATGACAGATTAAGGGTTCACCACCCTACTTATCCCTTGAGGTCCGGGAGACTGAATAATGCCGGAGAGTTTTATATCGACAGTTTTTGATACATTATTGCATGTATTTTGGGTTTATAATTAAACATCGAATTTCCATGTTCACCCCAAATAACCTCACCTAGCGATCATAAAGCACAATTTAAATGATCACCCGAATTTTGGTAAACGTACCAAGTTTTCAGTTTCTTCCTAGGGTTATGCAATCCTTGTACGCAGTTATGTTGGTCTGCCTTGAGACCCATTGTCATCCAACCTATATGACGTTACAGTTGGTTACTGGGTACGAACCTGACGATTTTCGTATTTACACATTTGGTTNTAGAATAATTGAATCATTAATTCACAAGTACAGTAAATGATCCAATATTTCATCCAAATTAAACCCCAATATAAATCACGTTAACAGATTAATCACATATGTACTTATATATTTAGTAGTAGGACACACACACACACATATATATATATATACACATACAGTTTTTGAGATCGGAGAAGCAGTTGCAGAGGCCGGTTGGATCAAGGGACGAGAGCACGAGGGCGGGGATAGGGAGGGGGGTGGGTCATGTGGGAGTGGCCACTGTGTGGGAGCTCATGTCTTCGTTAGAAGTAGTAAAATATGGTTCAGTGCTGGAGCGGACAGGGATACCTGTCGGCGGAGCATCTTGGTGGTGATGGTGCTGGTGCTGGTGGTCGGACGAGGAGTACTTCTCGTATCCCTTTGGGTGTGACGAGTACGTGATGGTCGAGTTAGGTGGGGAACGATGAGGAGGTTGAGCGAATATGATCTCAGACAGACTGAGAGAGAGGACTTGAAATGTTTTGGTTTATTCTACAACCATAGAACGGATGAATGCGCTGACTTAGAGAAATTTTTAGTTGTGATCGGAATACAGGCTGGTATACCACTTGTTTTTATTAAGTATTAAGTGGTGAAAAATTAAAACATTTTTTTTTTGTAATGACAGATAATATACTACCGCATGTTCCGGAGACATTAAAAAATTTCTCGTTGGCGTACGTCAAGTCTCCTCCGTCTACGAGTCTTCCTGTATGCTTTCTTCCTTACAGCGCTGCGCTAAAGTTTTTGAAGGCCCATGGAAAAGCCTGTGAAAAAGGCCCTTTTATTACGATCAACTTTTTTCATGGGACTGAGATCACCTCCGAATCCCAGCCTCTGGAGCAAACCGGGCAAAACATCTTATTCTTCCATTTTCATCTTGCCTTGTTTTGCGTGAGAATTGTTCAATATTTAAATTTATTTCTCGTCACAGGATCAAAAATGGAAGGATGGGATGTCTTGCTCAGTTTTGCTTTGGAGGTTGGGATCCGGAGGTGATCCCAGTCCTTTTTTGTGGAGTGATTTTTGAATATCTATTTTCACGTTTTGCACAGTTTTTTTTTTAATTTTTTTTTATTCAATCTATAATGACCAAAAAATATGGGTGTACAGGAGGCGGAAAAGATCTTTGGAAATCACTAGCAGGTGTACTCGAGCGTTGTCATGGGATTTTAAACTTTTGTTCAAGAAGTGGACAGTCTTGAAAAATATGTGGCAAAGAGGCATTGCTTACTATTTACATTACATGTAACATAAAGTCTTGAAACTTTGTTCAAGTTAACAAAATTGAGGACATTTGGAATGCCATACTTAAGGAGTGTTATTTACATCTATATATTTACATAAGAAAAATTGGTAACTCCGATAATTATTTGATCCTTTTATGTCCAAATTGTATAAATAAAAAAAACTAAAATTTGTTCCTTTACAGACACCCAAATCAGTAACTCCGATAATGACTTCTCCTTGGTTTTCCACAAAGCCATTGAACATGAAATATAATAACCGATTAGAAACAATAGAGTCCACACCACTTTAAGATACACGCAAATAGTTCCAAAAAAAAAAACCGAAATAATAGTGATTTTATTATAATATTAAGAACTGATACAAACATTAAAAATAATATTTGATAAAAGAGAATCCACAATCTACAGAGACTTCAACAAAACATAAAAGGTCAACTCGATTGAATACCATGGCAAGACAAGCCCACAAACTAGCAATGAACACAGTCTTTTAAATTATTCACACCCAAACTCAACAGACTAAGACGACTCTCCAAAGCCAAAAGAAGTTTATTCAAGAGACGGCAAACAAAAATCGAAAGCGAATTCTTTTATTCCATATATGGTATGAAGCATCAAGCCAACACCATTACTTATTTGTAATCAGTCTGACGATTCATGCCACCCTGCACAGCTGGTGCTGTCACCACTCCAGGATTCTTTGACGCATTTTGTTCCCAGCCTAACATTCATTGAAATTAACTAGTTAATTAGGAATCATTTTGAATTAATACTTTTTAAAGATAATTACACGTGTATAACGCGTATCGGTTGATTTAACTAGGATGGATAAGGAGGTGCACCGAGACGGTGAATCTAAGTGATTGTATTGGAGGGAGGAAACAACGAATGTACGTACCAATGGTAACATTGAAACCACGGTTCTCGAGCTCACGGTATTCTTGGCACAAGGCACAGGAGTGGCAGAAGAAATGAACGCAGCAATCGTTGCAAGGTTTTTTCTCCAACATGTACTGCTCCCTCAGTTTGGTTCGAAAGCCGCAAGTTATGCAGAAACCGCAAGGAATGCCGAATGCTAAGTGAGTATAGGAATTGATTAGTGCATACAAACATCCCTGCTGAAAACAACCTGCATACGCATGCACACTTTTGGAGTTCACTTCCAATTTCAACATCATCCTCAAATTTTAATCACTTAATTTAGGGCGTGTTTTGGGCTGTTTACGTATGAGCGCTCATGTTCGAGTTAAGTACGTGCTTTTTTACAAAAATACGACAAATTTTATGGATACCACACCAAGGACCTTTTTGGGCCATGCCTTTTCTACTTAAGGCACCTAACCAAGCCCAAATATTTTTAGGGCTATATTTTTCAATCCAATAATATTATTTTAATATTATTTAGCTTCTACAATCGACCATGTATGGCCCGATTTATTGAATTAATTAAAAGTGACCTGCAGTCCATTAATCTGATAATGAATCCAAAATTATTGACCTGAATATCACTTTTGGACATTATTGATTCAATAATTTATTTCTATTTTTTGAACCGTTGACTCACTTTTGTAGTCCCAAAGCGCTCACACTTGAATTCCTGAAGAAAACTCAAATCTACTACACTTAGTTGTATATTACATTCTGTGTTCTTATAGAAACCTCTCTTTTATGAACTAAACGTTCATAAACTAAATTGAACCTGTAGTTTCAAATTTAGTGCCTTTGAAGCCCGAAGTTTTCATACAACAATACACCCATGAAAACCCGATGTTTTTTCATGAAAACCATGTCTTAGAACTCGAATGTTCTAACTATGATGCTTATGGATGATTCATTATCATAGCACCAATCACAATCTTGTTCCTTCCAATTTAGTGGATTGTCGAACCGTCGCAAATTTGATTTTCCCTGATTTGGATGTTTCTAATAAAAAACCACCTCATGTGGGATACAAGACATGAATCTCCAATTGACTATCAAGAAGCTGAGAAAAATTGAAGCCAACAATGGCATGAAAGAGCTGAATAAGCTTCAACCATGATCTTCATTTGAAAACTTATGCTCAAAGCATTACAAATGGAAATACCTCCCGATCGAGGATTCCATGGCTTTTTGGCTCGCTCCTACGGACTGTCTAATCATGAAAGACATTGCATGAAGCACATCATGATTACATCCATGAATGAGTACAATTCTGAAGTTTATAAATCCGATCGAATATTGACTAGAGAATACTTTTCTCGTCCTTCCTTGTTTCTAACTCGCCCCTGAAGCAGCAGTGTAGATAGCGAAAGTTTACCAGATTCTTGGATCTGATTACTACCACAAATGTGAGAGCAAGGTATGGACCTAGTTCGGCTGGAGTCTACCGAATAGCTCGACCCAGTTTGGTCAAAGCCTATCGAATGGTGATGCACTACTTCGGCAGGGATACACCGAATGGCATATTCTCTCACAATCCAATTTCGAGTTTGTTTTTACAACATATGGTAGAATCAAGGCCAACCAAGGTGTGGCATCATGCCCAAAGCATGATCCTTGGTACTTAAGACCTAAAACTCCAAGAATAAGGGAAAATATTTCCTAACCTCAACCCTGCAAAATCAATTTTCGTCTAGATAGAATAGATCATTGGTTATGCACTTGTTCGTGCCCCTACCAATGTTGTTGAGAAGTACCATTCTAGTAGTCAATATGTGAGACTAATTTTGCTCCACCAAACACCGTTGGAAAAGCAGAATTTTGACATGGATAGCCTTGTCCCTTAGTGAACCATTTACTTTGTGAACATTTTTCCATGTTCTTGGATTCAAGTTTGGTGTATGTTTTACTTATGGATAATCTTATTGATATTGTCCTCGAATATGAGTTAACCGAATCATGTTTCTTAATACATGTGACCGATTCAATTAAACACATGATTAGGTAGGAATGTGGGAAAGTTAGTTGTATGGATGAATGCGTACTACGCGCACTAACTTTACACCTAAATCACATCTCTAACAACGACTTCAAGTCTATCCAACCTGGTTAAGAGCATTAGCACGCTCCTCGTTGTATGAATGGTACTGAATCACCATTTAAGGGATCTTAAATTCTCTCTCTGACGTTGAGTTTTTAAGGATATTCGAGATGACAATGACAATGATCATAAATGAAACCACTGAACAAAATAGAGTGAAATATCTTTGCACCACCTCCAAAAATAAGCCTGAAGCTTTGATTTGGGGCCAATGGGTTGTTTCTCAACTGGGAACACGCCACATGTGGCCGACCTGGAGCTAGGTGATTGAGTAGTTTACTTGTTTTGGCACGACCATTTGGGGACACTTAGGTCGAACAACAATGATGCTACAACGCATCTCCTTACCTGAAGTAAGGATTTTGTGCCTACAATCACACTTTGCCAAAGCCCGCTCATTTAGGAAATTGATTTTTATATCATTCCTTGCAAAGATACGACACGACTCCTTTTTCACAGTGGATTCAAGGGAATATATATAGACTAATCCAACCAAAATGTGGACCATATAAATACTTATGGTTTTGGTTGATGCATCGACAACCTGGTCACATGTTTATCCACATACATTGCTGCTAAACCTCATGACAGATTAAGGGTTCACCACCCTACTTATCCCTTGAGGTCCGGGAGACTGAATAATGCCGGAGAGTTTTATATCGACAGTTTTTGATACATTATTGCATGTATTTTGGGTTTATAATTAAACATCGAATTTCCATGTTCACCCCAAATAACCTCACCTAGCGATCATAAAGCACAATTTAAATGATCACCCGAATTTTGGTAAACGTACCAAGTTTTCAGTTTCTTCCTAGGGTTATGCAATCCTTGTACGCAGTTATGTTGGTCTGCCTTGAGACCCATTGTCATCCAACCTATATGACGTTACAGTTGGTTACTGGGTACGAACCTGACGATTTTCGTATTTACACATTTGGTTGAGCATTCCATGTGCCAAGTTGCGCCGCCACAACGTACCAATATGGGTCATCAATGAAGGATGTGTATCTTTTGTCGATCATGATTCTCCTTCATACTAGCTCTCTTTGAGCCCTTGCATGCGATCTCTTTACTGCTCATTTGTGGCTTGTCACTTTAATGAGACAGTCTTCCCGCTGTTAGGGGGAGATAAGAACGTCATCGTTCCTATAAAACGATGTGAATTTGCATAGACGTTACCCACTCTGTCTCATCTCGATCCCCATACGGCACATGTATGATAAGTAAGTGCGAAGATTTCTAGATTTTAGAATGTTGCTCTAGACGCATTCCTCTGATCTAGCTAAAGTGACGAGATCATATACCAGCTGCAAACATGCCTGCAAGGATAGACAGACTTAACAGACGTCGAGTCAACATCCCTAGAGGGTGTGCCGCCCCTGTTAGAAGGTTTGGACGCCCCTGTTGGATGGTTCGGTACACCGACGAATAGCCAATCAATCTGCCTTGGCCTGGATCACGACAGATCACTCGGTTCGTAGGATTCACTTCCCTAGAAGAGGAAAGCACGGCACAAAATGAATGTTCTTGGTCAAGTAAACTAGTTTGGATGAGCTAAATGGAAGTGAAATGAGATTATCATCGATGATGTTTTCACATATATGGTAGCTACCGACATAAATGAAAAGCGACGATATCGAACTGTGTTTCGTTGATTAAGTGACAACGTAAAACTGATTGGACAACCGAAATTACAATCCAAGTCAAATTCCTTACTAAAGTGTGTATTGGACTTGTCATTCTTACACTACCCAAGGTAACCCTGTTGTGTTCCAAATGGGAAAGGAAACGTTATGAGATGAATGAAATAGTGCGATATGAAGCACGCTTTACAGCGCAAGGTTTCTCTCAAACGTCCTGTGATTGATAGCAGCATGATGAAATATGGTTAGTGTTTTCTCCATGGGGATATTAATATAGAGATTTACATGTAAGTTCTTGAAGTACATGGACTGGTTCAAATAGTTCCAAAACCACGGAACACCCTCTTAACTTGTTTTGAGGCGTTCACTTATGGATTGAAAAATTCGACAGATGTGGTATACCCGTCTAAGTGATTATGATCAGTCAGGGATATGAATTATGCCCTTGTGTATTAAACTATAAAGTCTTATTCCAAATTGCTAGAGTTATAGTTTATGTTGTTAACCCGAATCTCACTAAGACTCTAGAAGAGCTTGAGAAAACTGCCTTGCACCTGAAGATGGAATTTGAGATGAAGGATCTTGGGGAAACTCGTTTATGCCTTAACCTGAAGTTGAAGCATTATTCTGACGGTATTTTGGTCTACCAGTCGAACTAGACCCCGAATGTGTTATCTTTGAGTATACCTATGATTGTGCATACGTTATATGCAAATGAGACCCTTGAAGAGGTTATGGAATCCGAAATTCCATATCTAAGGTCAACTTTGCGCTTTGTTGTACTTAGCTCATTGTATTTAGACATGACATCTTCTTCGCTGTTGATCTTGGTAAAGATGCAGCACCGCGCCTACACGCATCCACTGAATTGGTATTAAAGACTACCCTGAAGGTACTACATGGGCAAATCCCAACGCATCTCAGCAGATCCAACCCTTTGATCCTTGGGATGATGCTTGCCTTGTTATGCTGACACAGGTTACTTGTCAAACCCGCACAAGGAAAAATCCCCAAATAGTTATGTCTTTACCGTTAGGGATATCGCAATATCTTAGAGGTCCACGATATGACCTTAGTTGTGAAATCTTCGAATCGTTCCAAGACTCACCTCACTTCACTACGCCACAAGTGAGACATGGTTAGAAGTTCTTGTTGAGCATTACGAAGTACTTACTATTTTTCATCCATCGTTGAAGTCCCAACGACGATCCATGAAGATTATGTCGCATGTATCCATCCGACCAAGACATGATACATCAATGAAGTCAACACCAAGACATATTACGTCTGCATCTACATCAGCAAAGCATCAGGAGATTGAATTTATGCAAGCCGATCCAAACAACCTTCCAAAAGCTTGTCCGAGGAATTGGTATGCCTAACTATTCATATGCAATGCTTGTAGTTCTCATTTGGAAGCTATGTCAAACTCAGGGGGAGTATCTAGAAGTATACTCATTTGATCTTAATGTACTCTTTTTCCCTACAATTAGG